AACAATAATAATATCTGGGATTACAATCCTATTTCAAAATGGGTTTTCTTTGTTATGTTAATGAGGGAACATTGATCTAGGGTGTATCTTGGGCCAATCTCATATAAAGGACAGGAAGAAGCTAGCAGAGATAGGGGAGGAGAGATGCCAAGTCACATGAAGGTCATCGAGAAGCAGATGCTCAAAGAGACGTGGACCTTCTTCCACAGCAGACAGACAGAAGGCCTTCTCCTGGAGCCAGCATCCTGACTTTAGACTTCCAGCCCCCGAAATTGTGAGAATAAATTTCTGTTTGATTCAGCCATCCACTTGTGGCATTTTATTATAGCAGCACTGGGAAACTTAGTCAATCATATTTAACATTTTAGCCTGGGTCCAAAGTCCTTTTATAAAATTAATTTCAAATTGATAAGCTGGAGAAATTTGTGGAGGAAGACACTAGAATACCACTCTGTACTGCTCTGTCTGCTGTACTGTGGGGATTTGCATGTTACTAATGATGCTGGAATTTATGGCCCCAGCCTTTTAAATATCAGAAGGTCACCTATGATAGACAGGTTTTAGTGGAACTACTAGACTAAGACAGAGTGGGAGAAAAAAGACCTGGTAATTTCCTTCTGGAGAAAAAAAAAGGCCAGTAAAAGCCTTATGTATATCAGCAAAACATCGTCTGCTCTAGTGCTGGAAGATGAGTTGCTCAGACTGCAAGGAACTCAAAATACGACAGAAGAGCTGCCTCCTCAAAGTAGAGTTGATCTTAGTGGCTGGATGCAGCAAAGCTTTGTGGACATTCATTTGCTGATGTGGCATGACTCAAAGTGAGAAAGAACATCTGCAAAAATCCATTAATAATTGGAATGTTAGAATGTGGAATGTATGAAATACGAACCAAGGAAAATGGGAGTTGTCGAAATGAAATGGAACATTTAAAGATTGATATCCTAGACATTTGTGAACTAAAATGGACAGGCATTAGCCATTTTGAACAGGACAATCACACCGTCTACTGCTGAGAAGGACAACTTAAACAGGAATAATGTAACATTCATTATCAAAAAGAACATTTCAAGATCTATCCTGAAATGCAACGCTGCCAGTGATAGGACACTAGCCAAATACCTTCAAGAAAGACTAGTTAATACAACTATTGCTCAAATTTATGTATCAACCACTAAAGTCAAAGACAAGTAAAGTGAAGGTTTTTACCAACTTCAACAGTCTCAAAAATGTTCAAACATGCAATGAAAATGCAGTGATAATTGCTGGTGATTGGAATGTGAAAAATGGAAACAAGGAAGATAGGATCAGTAGTTGAAAAACAGGGCCTTGGTGTTAGAACTGTGCTGGAATTGCACAAAAGAATTTTTTGAGACCAATGAACTAGTCATTACAATTTTTTCCCCCAGAAACATGACTATACATGTAAGTCTCATCGGATGGAATAGCAAGGAATCAAACTGACTAGGTTGAGTAAAGAAATGATGGAGAAGTTCAATTTCATAGTCAGAACAAGGGTGGGGGCTAGCTGTGTAACAGACCATTAATAATTGCTCCTATACAAGTTCATGCTGAAGCTAAAAAAAAAAAAATTATAACAAATCTATGAGAGCCAAAACATGACCCTGAGTTGATCTCACCTGAATTTAGAGATAGTTTCAAGAAAAGATTGACAGACACTGAATACTGCTAACGAATTAAGTTGTGGGCTAACAACAAGGATATTATCCATGAAGAAAGTAAATTGTCATTAAAAAGAGAGAAAAGGGAGGGAAAATGGATGTCAGAAGAGACTTTGAAACTTGATTTTGGCCATAGAGGTGCTAAAAGCCATGGAAGGAATGGTGAACTAAAAAACCCTGAACATGATTTCAAAGCTCAACTGCAGAAAACCTAGTAAAGTATTATGATGAAATATGCAAAGACTTAAGAGTTAGAAAACCAAAAGGAAAGAATAGACTTGGCATTTCTCAAAGTGAAAAGAACTTCAAGTAGCAGTACTGAAGGGCTATGAGTAAATTACTGAACAAGGCAGAAAGTACTCAAAGACAATGGGAGGGCTGCTCAGAGTCACGTTACCAAATGAGTTGTTAAAGATGCAATCATTTCAGGAGGCAGCATACGATCAAAACCCGGTTGTACTGAAGGAAGAAGTCCAAGCTGCACTGATGGCATTGGTGAGAAACAAGACTCCAGGAACTGATAGAAAACCAACTGAAATGCTGCCACAAATGGATGCAGCACTAGAGGTGCTTATTAAACAATGTCTAGAATTTAGAAGATAAGCTATCTGGTCAACTAACTGGAAGAGATTTGGATCCATTTCAAAGAACAGTGGTTCAATAGAAAGCGCAAATCACCAAACAGTGCCATTAATATCATAAGCAAGTAAGATTGTGCTGAAGATAATTAATTCAAACCCAGTTGCAGAAGAACAACAACAGGGAATTGCTGAAAACTCAAGCCATACTCAAGAAGACATGGAAAGAACAGTATCATTGCTAATGTCAGATGGATGTTGTCTGAAAGCAGAGAGACATTAAACTGTGTGTATCTTAACAAATTATGGATCAGTCTGTAAAAAAATGGGAATTCTAGAACACTTAATGTGCTTAAGCAGAACTTACACACAGATTAAAAAGCAATTCCTCAAACATAAATGTGGTTTAAAATCGAGAGAGGTGTGCATCAGGATTGTGTTCTTTGATTAAATTTATTTAATAGGTATGCTGAGCAAATACTCTGTGAAGACAGACTGTGTGAAAGACATGCCATCAAGATTGGAGGTAGACTCATGAACCATTTGTGATATGTAGAAGACACAACTGTGCTTACTAAAGTGAAGAGGATTTGGAGAAAATATGGATGAATACTAACAAATAGAGACTTCAGTATGGATTACATTTTAACATAAACAAAAATCTTCACAACTAGACTAATAACCAATATCATGATAAATGAAGAAAAGACCAAGGCTGTATTTCATTATAAGTAGTGACACGTAGCAGTCAAGAAATCAAATAATGTACTGCATAGGGTAAATCTGCTGCAAAAAGATTTCTTTAATAAAAGTGTTAAAAAGCAGAGATGCCACTTTGAGGACTAACATATGCCTGATTCATTCACTTACTCTTATTTCTGTTGAGTCGTATTTTCAGAGGCTGCAAATTGCACAAGAGAAGATCACTCATCTATCTCATGCAGGGCAGCTAGTAAAGTCAAACTGCCTGCCTTTGGGTTGGCAATGCAACTCCTTCCCTGGTAGGCCACTAAAGCTCCCGAGGCCTGATCTAAGCCATGATGTTTTTAATGGCCTCAAAAACCGGACAACGAATGAGAGGACCAAAGAAGAACTGATGTGTTTGAATTTTGGAGTTTGCCAAGAATACTGACTGTATCATGGATTGCCAGAAGAACAAATTCCTCCCAGAAGTACAGCCAGAATGCTCCTTTGAAGAGAGGACAGTGAGACTTTGTCTCACATACTTTGGACCATTCCCTGGAGAAGGACATACTTCTTGGAAAAATAGAAGATCAACAAAAACGAAGAAGATGCTCAGGAGAGAGACTGATAGAAAGGGCTCAAAGACAGCAACCCTTGTGAAGATGGCATAGGAGCAGCAGTGTTTCCTTCTGTTCTACATGGGGTCATATAATTCAGAACCATGTTGGCAGCACCTAAGAACAAAAACAAAACACTGGAATGGCACATTAAAAAGGTTCAGTTCTACAAGCCCTATATTCACAATAGGCAATGAGCAATTTGGTTTATGCTATGCTATGACCCTAGTCAGTCAATAAATGAGATTCATGAATATATTTGAACTATTTCAGTCATTGTCTGACCAAGCGAAATAAATAAAAAAGAGAGTGTATCAGAACAACAATTGGAAAAGGAAACATTAGGGGTCAAGCTCCTGGAATGGGAGACTCAGAAGAGCGGTGTGCCCTTTCAGGAGTCTGGGAAGGGAGAGTGGATTAATGTCAGGGCTGTGGAAGCACACATTCAAAACTGTGTAGTAGTTTGCCATTTGAGCTAGACATCGTTTTTTCTGACTGTGCCAATTTCTAGAGATTTGGTTGCTACACAACATACATGATGCCCTTGTTTTCTAGTAGGAAGATTAAGTGTCTTGCAAGACACTGGTCTGTAATTTTTTTTTCTATTTTAATTATGATACACTCACATTTTACAAATTTTGGTGTGTTCTGTTTTCTCATCATCTGCTATGACTGAATCAGGAAGAACTACATCAAAGCTCTACATACAACCAGTAGTCTAATGGATGAATTATAGGCAAAAAGACACAGCCTGAAAGTCCAAGTGAATGTGTCTGATGAAATCTGTGAGTCATTAAAAGAAACACTAAGATTGAACGTTTTAAAAATAATAAAATTCTATGTAGACAAAACCAAAGTGATCAATGGGAAGTTTTACAGTTTGTATCCATTTTGTAATTCAGTCTTCTCCATTTTGGTTTTAGCAATAGGGTGCCATCCATAGTGTAAGGCCAGCCATAGCATTCAAGCTTGAATGAATTTTAAAAGTGACACAGTAAGCAAACACGCTCCAAAGGCATTCCACAACCCCAGAGTGCTGCTGACCATTAAAATCTAAGTTAATACTCACTTCAAATTTAAACAGGATATTAAGTACTATCTTCAGATTAATTAAATGCAAGCCCATATATTCCTAATATTAGGGGGAAAGCAGTATTTAGAATAATTACTTGCAAAGGAAAACTCTTAATATGTGTACCTAAAAAGGCAATATAATATCAGAGTTAGAAATAAGCAAGTTACCTTCTAAAATACAAGAATTGCATGTTCTTTTTTGAATATAAGAATTATACTTAGCAGGCCAGTAAAGCAATGTCTTTTAAAAATGGAAAAATATAAAGCCAAGCAATAGAAGCTCTTATACGGTATTTGGTTTGGAAAACAAAAGAAGAAGGGCATGTTTCAAACAGATGGAAAGTGAAATACAGTAGAGCCATCCTTACCTGCATTAATTTTCCTTCTGCTGGAGTTATTTCGGCAACACCAGCAAACACACCCTCCAAAGTGAGGTTCATTTTTCCCGTGGGGTCCATTTTCAAGGGGATCACTCTAATAATAGCTTTCTGCTCTGCTGATCTTTCAGACTCCACCGCTGCGGCCAGTACCAGTCCTGTGCGTCCAAAGCCTGCCTGCACGGTAGCCATCAGCAGCCAGGGCCAGAGGGCAGCCAGCTGCAGCTGGTGGCCACCACTCATGCTACCAGCTGCAGCAATGCACTTCGGCCATACATACTGCTTCCACTAGCTCATACCAAACACAGGCTCCCGGATCCAGACAAATGGGGCTGAAGAATATTTACGCTTCAGTTTCAGAACTCCAAGTCGTAGTTTTGGCCCTTTTTTCTAAAGTATATTCCCCAAAACAGGTGGCATTCCTGATGGAGCAGACAAGAGAGTGTTTTCAGCCCACTTCTGCAGCAGGTATATTGTTTTCTCCCATCTTTACCCTTAGAAGTAAAGACAACACAATTTTTCTTTGGAATTTTCCAACTTTGGTTGAGATTGAATGTCACATCATGATTTTTTATGTCAGATCACTTGGTGTTGGTTTTCCATATGTATCAAGTTGCTGAGCCCCTGCGGAACCCAATGTTCATGAACAAAACAAGGCACCATAAACAGCTGAGATCATGCATCCAAGTTGAGAGTGAAGAATTACAGCTCAGAAAATGAAGAGGTGGCTTTTTGTAAATTAAAAAAAAAATTGCAATTGGTAAATGACTTAGAAACCTCAGAGGATTTTCTTTTTAATGGCGGGAGGAGAGAAAACAATAATAAAACAAAATTGCCGGCCACATCTTGAGGAATGTCCAAAGATGCTACAATATGTATTTCGAAAATGTCTACATTCAACTAACTGTTAGTCTAAGCCCTAGGCCCAGTGAACTTATATAGTTTTCATGAATTTGGTCATATTATTTAGTGTTCCACCAAAATTGCCTATAAGTTAGGGGCTAAATATATATATATATACACACATATATAGGTCTTCACATTTTAAAGATAATCCTGAGCATCACAACCTTTTCCCACTTCGATCACTAAGAAAACATTTGAAAAAGGTTACCTTTCCAATTAGTTATCATAAAATGATATTTAAAGTCATATTTCCATCTCCATTTTCCTTTCTCTCTTAAGGAGTCCAGAGTTTATTCTCCACCTTGAGAATTCCAAGCACTTTGATTTCCCATGAGATGCTTGGAAACGACTTTAGTATCCAGATCTCATAATCTGTAATTTTTTAGGTTCATAAGAAAAACAAAGGGCTATTCCTAACACGTTTTCAAATTCCTTGAGGGGGTGGGGAATTAAAAGTAGGGGGGGTTGGGAGGTGATTAGTCACACGCTCTGAGTAGAACACTCTGAAAAAAGTAAAAATAAGACTGGCTAGAAAAGCCTTGTGCTATTTCTAGGCACATTTGAAAATTTGGATCTTTGTACAAACACCAAGATTTTTAAATGCATACTCCTAAGTAAAAAAGAAAATGTACTTCCTCGACAAAACGCGCTGCGTTCAGAGGTAAGGATAAAAAAAAAAACCTTATAAAGTCATCTAGAGTAAGTGCTGAAAAGCCAAGAAATTGAATGTGAACCTGCTCTATCGATTCTTTTCGTTTTCTGAAGCAGAGGGGAAATGTAAAGAAAAAAATGTTTCAAAAGAAATCTGCAAACCTGTTGCGCTGTCGGGCCCACTGGAATCCACGGGGGTGAAACAAATTCAGTTATGCTTTTAGAGATCGTGCTCAAAAATGGTTTCAACTGCTTAACCCAGTACAGTTCATTCTTCCACCTTCTTACTCTGCAATCAAACCAAGTGCCCCGCACTGCAGGTAGGTGCCGAGAAATTCCGCAGCCTGAAAAAATAATCCATGCAGGTCAAAGGCAGAAATTTACTCCGGGGTGAGAGCTAGTGTCCCCCAAGAACTCTTAAAAAAAACCCCAAAACAACAAACACTTAGGAGAGGTTCCAAAAATAATTTCTGAACTCGTCTAACAGTTCTGTCCCCGAACAGCATATAAAATGATCAAATCTTGAAAGACAGAAGAAGTAGCAAACACATCAGCAACAATTCACTACCAGGAACACAGAAAATCCCAGAGGGAGAAGGCAGTATCTCTGAATCATGGATGGACTTGGAAAGTTCGGACGGATTCCAGTGCTTCTCCCTAGAGGAGGAAGCCTGTGGTTTGTAATTGGTGTTCTAGCTCTGAATCCCTCCCCTGGGACTGCAATCACGCTCTCTACCTGCTGACACAAAGTGAGGGTGGAGCAGCCAGAGGCAACCACCCCCACCCCACCCCCTCTCCTCCTGGCTGGCCCTGGGCACAGGCTTGGGTGCGCGCACACACTTACCCAGACACGTTCATTCGCGCTATCCGCTCTCAGCTCCTCCGCTCCCTCTATTGAGCCAAAGGTGAAATGCACCCAGTCCAATTCTCATCACCCTAAGTAAGCAAACTATCACATGTTAATTGGTCAATCTGTCTTAAGCAGATCCTAAGGATGGCACTTACGACCATATTAAATTTGGCAGATGGTATTTCTGCATTCATATTAGTATATGTTGGAAACACGTCCATAAGACTACAGCAGAACCTAGGTACCCAGGTAGCTGTCTTCCAAATTTCCTGGCCTAGACTGGTGAGCACATCCAAGGTTCTGTTAGCTGGAACATGTAAATTGGTATCCGATTGATTCCTGAGGCTTTATTTTTGGCTAATGCCTTCAATGCAGCTTCAACTTTGTCCCTTTATCACCACTGGTCTTTATCATATGATGGTGGTTGTGTTGTGTGCTGTTAAGAGTCAGAACTGACTCACAGCTCTCTAGCAGGTTTTCAGAGGTCATAAATCCCCTTGGAGATTGCCCCTCCTCCTCTCATGGTACTTCCTGAAATATTTCAGTGCTGACCAGTTCTTTTTTGTACAATGACTGTGTATTCCCCTCCATCTTCATTCTCCCTTTTTATTATTATTATTATTAATTTTAATGAAAATTTACAGAGATTTTGGATTTCTATTCCATCTTCTTTTTATGCTTCCTGGATTAATCAAGATCCTTCCCATAGCGTCTCTCAAAATTGTAACTTGATACTTTATTTTTTTTCAGTTCTTTGAACTTAAGAAACGCCAAATGAATTCCTTTTTTAATTCTCCAATTTCAGCTCTTTGCACATTCCATTATGCTACTTCGCTTTGTCTTCTCGAGCTGCCTTTGACATCTTTTACTTCAGCATCTCTTCCTTTTATTTTAGCTACTCAAGGCTCTAGTGCAATTTTCAGTCTCTTCTGAAATTCATTTTGGTCATTCCTTTCTCCTCTGTCTTTGTAGTCACTTTTTCTCTCTTTACGGATGTCAACTTTGATGTCATCCCACAATCCTCAGGTCTATAATCATGTGTTCAATTCCTCGAATCTATTCTTCAGAGGATTTTTAAATACAGGTGGGATTTAACTAACTGAAAAAGATCTGTATTTGTTCCCATTCTCAAGAAAGGTGACCAACAGAACGTACAAATTATCAAACAATATCATTAATATCACGTGCAAGCAAAATATTGCTGAAAATCATCCAAAAATGGCTAGAACAGTTCACTGACAGAAAACTGCCAAAAGTTCAAGCTGGGTTTAGAAAAGGCTGTGGCACCAAGAATACCACTGTTGATGTCAGATGGATCTTGGCTGAAAGCAAAGAATACCAGAAGAATGTGTTTTATGACTGTTACTGTAGTGTGCCATTGTGTTGGGACCAACTCATAGCTGACCCTCCAGCAGGTTTTCAGAGGCAGTAAAATCACATTGAAGGAGATTGCTCATGCTTCTCACAGGGGGCAACTGGTGGAACCAAACCATGTGCCTTTGGGATAGTGATGCACTCCTTACCACTAGGCCACCAGAGCTCCCTTTTATTGACTATGCAAAACATTGGACAGTGTGGAGCAAAGTATGGCTAATATTGAGAAGAAAGGAAATTTCAGGATATTTAATTATGCTTATACAAAACATATACCTAGACCAAGAAGCTGTTACCTGAACATACTAAAGGAGCACTGCATGGTTTGGAACTGGGAAATGTATACACATTCTTTCTCCTAAATCTGTATGTTGAACAAATCATTCGAGAAGCTATAATTTGGAAAGAAGAGTGTGGCATCAAGATTGAAGGAAGAATCATCAACAGGCTGTGTTGACACATGCAGATGTGCATGACACAACCTTGCTTGCTGAAAGCAAGAGGACTTGAAGCACTTACTGCAGATGATTAAGGACTGTAGCTTTCAATATGGATTGCATTTAAACATCAAGAAAACAAAAATCTTCACTACTGGGCCAGTGGAAAACATCATGATAGCTGGAGAGAAGACTGAAATTGTTCATTTCATCTTGCTTTTCTCTCTCATCAACACCCTTTGCACCAGCAGTAAGGAGATCTGGAGATACATAGCATTGGGCAAGTCCATTATCAAGGGCTTTCCAAAATCTTGAAGAGCAATGATGCCAGTATAAAGACCAAGTTACACTTAATTCAAGCCACAGTCTTTTCAGTCACCTGCTATGCATTTGAGATCTAAGTAATGAATAAGGATGACAAAAGAAGAGAAGAATTGATGCCTGTATGGTGTTGGAGAAGTGTACTGAATATTCAATGGACTACCAAAAGAAAAAATAGATATGTCTTGGAGAAAATGCAACCACAGTGCTCCTTGAAGGCAAGGTTGGTGAAGCTTAATCTCACAGACCTTGGTCATGTTGCTAGGAGAGGCTACTCCTTGGAGAGTGACATCATGCCTGGAAAGGTAGAGGGTCAGTAAAACAAAGTAAGAGGATTAAAAAAGGCAAGCAGGGCCCTTCACGAAATGGATTTACAAAGTGACTGCAGCAATGACAGTCCAAGGGTGTCAGAGATGTTGAGAATGGCACAGTATAAGAGCAGGGTTCAGGTCTGTTATTAATAAGGTGGCTATAAGTCATACCTGACTTGAGGGCATTTAACAACAATACCAGAGCCAACAGGGGGCAATGCTATATAAGTGTCTGAATCCTAACCATACATCTAAGGGAATGAGTTGTCAGTTCTGGGACCTTCAAGGGCAGCTGGCCTAAAAGTCAATGTTCCACATCTTACTTTGGTGAGTTGAAACCAGGGCCTTAACAGCTTGTGGGCAGCCGTCTAAGTAGCAACTATCAGTCTTTTCTTGATAAGAAGAAAGAAAAGATGTACTTTACAAAGATGTAAAGAAAATCAGTCCAAAGGACTAACAGACCATCTGAATCTCAAGGTGAGGTTCTGAACTTTGAACTTGAGATTAGAACGTGATGGTGGTTAGCTACCACCACTGAACATTCTCAAAGGGATCACACTATAATACCCTGAATAGAGAGTGTGAGTATGTGTGTGTGTGCCCACGCATGCATACATGTAGAACAAAACTAAAAAATGTAAAAATAGTCATGCATATAGTTCAGCTGACTCTGGTGGACCACCTCCGTCCCAAGACTTAGTCACCTTCAAACATGGAACAAAACTCATTCCTATTGTTTAACTTGCAGTCAAATAACATCAAGGAGGAATTAACTCATTAGAATTACCAAAGCCTAAGGTCACCGCACTGGGAAAACCTGCAATTAGGGACTTCTCCAAATTATTGAAGAGTAATGATGTCAGTTTAAGGACTAGGGTGCGTCTGATTTAGGCTATAGTTTTTCCAATCACTTGCCATGCATCTGAGAGCTGGACAATGAATAAGGAGGACAGAAGAACTGCTGTCTTTGAGCTGTGGTATTAGAGAAGAGTACTGAATGGCCCATGGGTGGCCAAGAGTACTGAACGGCCCATGGGTGACTAAGAGAACAAACTGATATATCTTGAAGAGGGTGCAGCCAGAGTGCTCGTTGGAGGCAAGAATGAGGAGGCTTTGCCTCCCATACTTTAGGCATGTTGCTAGGAGGGGCTATTTCTTAGAGAAGGGCATGATGCTGGTAAGGGTGGTGGGTTGACGAAGGAAAGGAAGACCTACAAGCAGGTTGGCTGACACAGTGACTACCACAATGGGCTCTTGTGTGTCAGGAAGTGTAAGGATGGCACAGGATAGAAAAAGGTTCAGATCTTTTGTTCATAGAATTGGTATGAGTAGTACACAACTTGATGGCACCTAACAACAACAACAAGGTCAAAAGAATAACCGTTGTCCAAAAATAAAGCCCCAAAGGCTAGAGTGCGTAGCATAGAAGAACCAATGGAAATAAATGAGAATTACGTTGTTGGGAAAGAGCAATGACACTGCGAGTACTGTAATTTTATTATAACCAAAATGTGTACAAATGATAAAATGAAAACCAATTTGCTTTGTAAACTTCCATTCAGATTATATACGCACATGGAAAAGATTTACACTGGGTGGGGATGTCGTGTCACAGATTCTGCTCTCAACCTCATACCAGATGGTGGTATGAGGAAATAAAGTTTGTGGGTTTGTTTTTTAAAAAAACAAAGAAACCTAGGAGATAAAAAAACAGAACACAATACAATTTCCTAAGTTCAAAAGAGATTCCTACTACTTCCAGATTGTTTATAAGTGACATCAAGTTAGCCGTACTTAACTGATTTGTTGCCGACTTACATCTTCTACCTCAGGAAAGACTGTTTTATGTGTATTTTTCTGTTCTTACTAATATAAACTCGGTGTTGTTGTTGTTGTTGATTGCCTTTGAGCAGAGCACGACTCATAGCGACCCCATGAACAAAAGGCCTAAAGCTCCCTACAACCATCAGCATTTTTCAAAGTTCATGGAGTTTCCGGCAGCATGTTATTTAACAAGTGGATGACACTCCTGTTTCCAAACTAAACTCAACAGCTCATTTCTAAACTGTGCTGCCAAGAGTTTTCAGATCAGATTTATGTCAGAAGTGTAGCATCCAACCTGTTGTTTTTTCTTCTCATATCTTTAGGAGGTGAAGTAATACTATGGATCAAGACCTATGCTTTCAATGTAAGTCTGTAAGTCTGAGGAAGGAGG